GTAAAACCTTTGGTGGGGACATGTTGTGCTCCTTCTGGGGTCCAACTTTGGTCCACACCCTGCACTCAGCTCTCACCTGTGGCTCCTAGAAGCAGTCAGCATGCAATAGCGGCCACATTCTGGGTAAAGGTAAAGGGACCCCTGACCATTAGGTCCAGTCACGGAAGACTCTGGGGTTGTGGCGCTCATCTCGCCTTACTGGCTGAGGGAGCCAGCGTTTGTCTGCAGACAGCTTCCGGGTCATGTGGCCAGCATAACTAAGCCGCTTCTGGCGAACCAGAGCAGCGCACGGAAACGGCGTTTACCTTCCCGCCGGAGCGGTACCTATTTATCTACTTGCACTTTGACGTGCTTTCGAACTGCTAGATGGGCAGGAGCAGGGACTGAGCAACGGGAGCTCACCCTGTCGCGGAGATTCGAACCGCTGACCTTCTGATCGGCAAGCCCTAGGCTCTGTGGTTTAATCCACAGCGCCACCCGCGTAACTCCACATTCTGGGAATGGCTGGCTAAACCAGGTAAGGGTAGCCGATGGGTCTCAAACCCTCGGTGAGTCAGGGACTTTCCCTGCATGTGAAGATAGGCCCCGTGGATTGAGCTGATGCAACTAGGCCTGGGAAGTGATATATAAAGATTTGTAGAGAATGTTGAAAAATGACTTAGAAGCTATGGTTCTGAAAGGTAAGGACTTAATGGATTTACTGTGCAAAGGACTTTGTTCCAGTATCTGAGAGTGGATGCCAAGCCAAGACCAGCCCATCCCCATAGAAGGAAGAAGCCACCGCCAAAGAAGATAAGGAAGATTGGCAAAACAAACTAATGAACTATGCAGGACATACTGGATAATTTGAAACCCAAGAAAGAAAGGACATTGATTTTTTCTCTCTCCTTTTTGTTTGTTTTTTCTTTTAAAAAAGGGGGAAATGTTTAATGCAGGCTTCCTCAACCATGGCCCTCCAGATGTTTTTGGCCTACAACTCTCATGATCCCTAGCTAGCAGGACCAGTGGTCAGAGATGATGGGAATTGTAGTCTGAAAACATCTGGAGGGCCGAGGTTGAGGAAGCCTGGTTTAATGCACATCTTGCAAGCTTTGTGTATAGGTTTTACATTATCTGAATTTTTAAAGGGCACTTGTAAGAACATGAATAAGGTTTTAAAAATGGACTGCTAAGAATGTAAGACCTTATGGACATGCATGAATAAGTATAAAATAATGGAACCAGGAGGGGGAGTGGAGGGGAGTCAATTAAGATGTATGATTTAAATTCTTGATTGTGATGGTTTTTTTGTTTTTTTGTTTTTGTTATTATAAAATTAATAAATTGTATCTAAAAAAGAAAGAAAGAGGTGAATGGTCCAATAGTGGGCCCAACGGTCAAGAAGGTGGTTTCTGCACATGGGATATAAATGCAGAAAATGAATAAATGAATAGATTTGGTGGAGTTTGTTTCTTTAATAATAAGGTTTAAAGAAACCCCTTTCTCCACATTTCTTTATGACATTGAGCACCAGGTGGTCAGGAGCTCTCTGGCTACATTGCCGCTCACAACTGTGGGTGTTTCATACTCCCTCCCAGGTTGAAAATGTGCTTTGTGTAGATCTTCTGGAGCAAAGCAAAGCTTTGAAAGCCTAGTTGCAGCTACAAGGGATATGTTGTTTTCCTCATTTCAGAGAGCCTCACATTTAGAAGAGACAAGGATGCTCAGAGCTAAGCGAGCCCGGAGTTGGCACACATCACATTTTCAACACATCTTGGCAGTGGGGCAGCTTTTAAAATTTTAAGTTTCAACAGAAGATGCCTTCTTCGCTCTTCTTTCATGTACTAATTTACCCAACCTCTGTAAACAGAAGATTATGAAACCTGGCGTTCTGAACACAAACTGAGATCTTTGGGGAGCTTGTTACCATAGCTGTCAATGTTTCCCCCTTTTTAAGGGAAATTCCCTTTTTCCGAATAGGATTCCTCGCAAGAAAAGGGAAAAGTTGACAGCTATGCTTGTTACATGTGACAGGGAACCTGTGGCCATCTTGATGTTGTCGCCTATAATTCCCATGATGCCTTATGTTCCTAATCTATGCCTGTGCTCTGCAGGCGAGGACCTCCTGCTAATACCATCTTATCAGGAGGTTTCTTGTGCATAATGTAGGAATTGCCCCTTTACTGTGGTGGCACCTATCCTTGAGATTTCCCTCCCCTTGAATACTATACGGGCACCATCTTTTCAGCACCTACTGAAGAAGGCCTTCTGTCAACAAGCCTTTTAACCCAAGATTTTCCCCAGTCATCGCAATTGTTTTATAGAAATGTTTATTGTTTCAGTGCTTGTTTGCCTCCTGTGGGATATAAATTTAGTAAATAAATAAATAAATATTCGCTGTTTTAAAAGGAGCATCTCATAAAGAAACCTCCACTTTTTAAACCACTTATTAAAAGCCAGCCTGTTGCAGGCTTTTGGCCAAAGGCTGTGCCCACGCCATAATTTTAAAGTGCATTCAAAGCACATTACTTCCCTCAAAGAATTCTGAGCAGTGCATTTTAACCCTCGCGGAGTCAGAATTCCCAGCAACCTTTAGTAAACTACAGTGCCCAGAATTCTTTGAGAGGGAAATGTGTTTCAAATGTGCTTAAAAGGCACAGTGTCTACACAGCCACATAGAGTGCTGTTCTGTTACCCCGATGTGCAGTTAAGTTTTTCTTGCTCTGCTTTTGTTTTCCTGCTCGGTCATTTACTTTTTATACACAGTGTATATCTTTCCTCCTTGATTGATTAATGAATAGGTAACATCTACCGTATTTTTCGCTCTATAAGACGCACCAGACCATAAGATGCACCTAGTTTTTAGAGGAGGAAAACAAGAAAAAAAATATTCTGAATCCCAGAAGCCAGAACAGGAAGAGGGATCACTACACAGCGATCCCTCTCACTGTTCTGGCTTCTGGGATAGCTGTGCGAAGCCTCTTCAGGGCAGGGGGAGCCTTCATCCTGCTGCCCTGAAGAGGCTTCGCGTGGCTATCCCAGAAGCTAGAACAGCGAGAAGGAGTGCTGCGCAGTGATCCCTCTCGCTGTTCTGGCTTCTGGGATAGCTGTGCAGCCTGCATTCGCTCCATAAGACGCACACACATTTCCCCTTACTTTTTAGGAGGGAAAAAGTGCGTCTTATAGAGCGAAAAATACGGTAACTGCTTGTATACATATATTTTTCTACTTCTGGGTTTTTTTATATTCTACGGTACGTTTGTAACATGCAAGTCCTTTCTGGTGGGAGGGAAGCCGTCTAGAAATATATTTATAATTGTAAACAAAGCAAGGCATTTGGTAGATTAATACAGGTGCTTCTCCAATGTGCTGTCCTACGTGCATGTGCAGCAGGTATCTCAAATGTATACACCTCCGCTTACATTTTCAAATCAGATAGAAGCTGGTTTGCAGGAAAACTCATCAAACAGCAGTATTTCTCAAGGAACAACAGGATACATATGGATTGGCATTCCATTTTAGGGGGTGAAAGTTAATGTTTGCAAAATTCTTCAGTGAGGGGGTCTTAAAAATATGTTTTTGGGTGTGAGGAATTCAAATCTGCTTCTATTTTTGTGACTGGACAACGTTTAGCTTGCTAAGTCTACACCTGATGAAGAAGCACGGAAGATGCTTACGGAAAAACCAACACATTTTAATTTTACCATCTGAAAATGTCACAATGCTAAATACTATAATGCTAAACAGTAAGCAGATAAATAAATAATATAAACACAGAACTGCAAGTACTTCAGCAATCATTTTTAATGATTTCTATGAAATTGTACACAGGTTTTACCTACCAAGTAAAACTAAATTATTTTTTAATTTCACCAAAACATCTTTTGAATTCCCAACTAATGTCACAACTTTTGAGCCCACCCACCCCCTCATTTGGGGAGGCTGAGAGCTGGAAAATTCAACACGCTCTAATCTAACATGTGCTCTGCTTTGAACACCAGCAGTGGGAGTGCACTGGAGCCAGAGTAAACAGGAATGTGTGTACACAGATCAGAGTGTTGGTGCACTCACAGAAAATCTTTTCGAATCCAGGTTCAGAAATCTGTGTAACTTAACCTTCCATTCCTTATCTCACCATAGCTCTGTGCGAAGGTTCCCTTCGTGATTATTCACTACACAATTACACACTGCACAAGGGGAAGAGCCTGTTGCCCCCGTCCCCCATCCTGAAACCCCTTTTGTTATTCGCACAGCCCCCTGTGCTGGGGACGGAATGTCTGCAGAGGGCAGGAGCAGGTGCTGAAAAGGCTGACTTAAGAGGCTTGATCTTCCATTTTATATAAACCATCTCACGTAGAGGGGGGAAATCCACCTTCTCAGTGGTCTAAAAAGATTTCATGAGCACGATTCTACCAAAGGTAGGCACTTCAAAAACCCCACTGTTGTTGATGGACCACAAACCTATGTGTATTTGTGTGGAAGTAGTTACCACCGCATTCAGTCGAACTGCATTCAATGTTCATAATTGTGTTCTTAATTACATGCTTAGTTCTCTCCATCCCATCGAAATCTACTATACAACAGCACAATCGCATTCCCATTTCTTCAGAAACAAATCCCACTTGTGCTCAATGGCATTAACTCCTAGGTAAGTGTGAACAGGCTTGCAGCCTCAGCGGTGCTGAACTTTAGCCGGATTGTGACCTCCCAGCTTTATTTGTGCGAAAGCAGACAAGGGTAATTATTGTAATTGTGGGTAAAGTGCAACTGCATATCAATTACCTATCAATGCAATCTGTAAGCCCGTCAATGAAACTTAATTTGAGTTTACCTGGGGAATCTTTAATAGCGCCGAGTAAATGAATACCCTTAACGACACAATGCCTGGATAGAAAGACTGTAATTAAGCAGGCAGCTATACCATTCTAGCTAACATCAGTATTCAACATTTTATTGGAGCCGACAGGCGACATTAAAGCTGTGAGTCTATGCACTTTTACTTAGCCTCACTGAACACAGTGGAGCAAGATAGCTCAGCTGCTTACAGCATGAGACTCTTCATCTCAAGGTTGTGGGTTTGAGTCCCATGTTGCGCAAAACAGTCCTGTATTGCAGGGGCTTAGACTAGATGGCCTTCTGTGTTCCTCCCAACTCTATGATATCCAAGGAAACATGGATTGGGTTGAGCTGCAAGGATATTTGCTCCTTGGGTGCTATTCTACAATGGTGCTGTTCTGCTAGGCTGGGCATTCTGTGTTCTTATGGAGAGCTGGGACAAGTGTGTGTTGAATTTGGGGGAGATGAGAACAGACAAGAATTCATATAAAGTTGGTGGAGGGACGCCAGTTTCATATCAGGTGCAATAAATCCCACCCCATCCAGAACAACAGGTGAGGTGAGCTAGTTTGTCAAAAACTGGTCTAAAAGTGAAAAAGCCCTCGTTTGCCATGCAACTAAGCATCCCCATCGAAATCTACCTTTGTTGCAATAGCTCTTCTGGATCACAACAGCAAGCAACACCCCGAACCCTAAACAAGCAAGCAGACAAAAGTAGAAGTCAAGGAGAAAAACCAACCAAACAAACAACCACCACGAAGAGACTTGTGTCACTTTAAGGACTACTACCGCATTTTTGACGGTATAAACTTCCGTGGACTAATCAAAGAGTCCTGAGACAAGCTGTAGTCTACAAAAGATTCCGCCGTCAGAAATATGTTACGTCTTAAGAGGTGCCACGAGACCTTTGTTGTTCCTGTTGCAACAGACGGGGGGGTGTTCCACCAGAAAGAAACCTCTATTTCCACCTAACAATCGGCATCGACCTCGCTTCAAGCTGTCAAAGCTGGGAGGAAAAGGGCGCCTCTTTCTTTCAGAAGGAGGGGGCGCTTGCTACAATTCTCAACTACTGAGAACAACCGCCCCCTCAAAAAACAACAACCCGTGCCTCTCCCTATAGTAGCTGGCCTTGCACTTGCACACACACTCCCAACTTCCCATTGCCCGAGGAAGCGAATCCTGCCCGCCAGTTCCTTCGCTCTCCCCAACTTCCTCGAAGTTTGCAATCAACAGGCGTTCGTTTGCACGTTCACCTGGGACAAGGCGAAGTCGCTGCGCACTCAAGAAACTTTGCCTTCCAGCGAGCGAGCGCGGTTGGAAACGCAGGGATCGTCGGAGGAGGAGAGCGCAGAGGAAAAGAGTCTCTCCAACCTCCAAGCCTCGGCCAGGCTTCCACGACGGAGATCAGATTACCACTCGCCCCTCGTGGGGGCTGAGGGAGGACGGGGAAAGTCGACCTCCTACGGGGGAAGACGCGAAGGAAACCCTGGAATAAGAATGCGCCCCTCGTGCGCCCGCCTTTACCTGCCTTGCCAACGAGGCGCAGAAGCCCAGCGCGCTCTCTTGTCTTCGTGGACGCTGCGCTCTCGCCAGGGCAGACAAACAGCTACGCCCCTGGCTGTGCGTACCCCGACCCAGGCTGCCGGGATCTCACTTGTCGCCCCCAAGGCACCCTCCTCTTCTTCCGCCGCCGCCGCCGCCGCCTCTCCTTCTTCCCATGGCCGTAGCCGCCGCTGCTGTTGGAGAGTTGGAAAGCGTCGCTCTCCTGGAGAGAGTTGCGCCTGGAGGGAGAGGCGGGCTTTATGTCCGCCGAGGGGAGCGGCTTCTTTTAAGAAGGGATCTGCTCGGCACTTTATGCTCCGGGCGGAGGGGCGAAGGGGGGGGGGCGGGCTGGCTGCGAGGCAGGGAGGAGGCGAGCGCTGCGTTCTGGCAAGCTCGGGTTGCTGCCCAGCCCGGGAGGAGGTGCATCTCTTTTTTGCCTTGGATTCCCGCCCCCCCCCCGTCCAAAATAATTTCTCTGCCCTCCCCACCCTTTTCTTTTTTCGGGGCTCCACCTAGAGAGAGAACTTCGCGACTGCAGGGCTAGTATTTTCCCATTCCGAACCGAGGAAGGGTCTCCACGGTGGACATTCAAGTTTGTTTCACAGTTTTGTTTTTGAAGAGGGGTGGGAAAGGGAGGAATATATACTCGATGCCGTAGAATTGCAGAGTTGGAAGGGATGCCGAGAGTCAACTAGTCCAACCCCCTGCAATGCAGGAATCTTCGGCCCCTTGTGGGGCAGAATGAAAGCAGGACCTGCCCATCTCCGTTTCTTTACATTTCATTTGGGCCACCGATATACAGTAGCACTATTTATTTATTGCGTTGTATCCCGCAAGGAGCTCGAGGTGGTATACATAGTTTCCCCCCTCCGCACTGAATCCCCACAGCAACCCTGTGACGTAGGCACATACATACAAGCTGCCTCGACCAGAGTCAGGCTGCTGGCCCATCTAGCACAGACTTGTCCACACTGACTGGCAGCGGCTGCCCAGGATTTCAGGCAGGGACTCTCTCCCAGCCCTACCTGAGGGTTCTGGGCATCAAACCTGATGCCTTCTGCATGCACAGAAAATGCTCTGCCACTGAGCTATGTCCCTTTCCGTATGTTTCTCCCCACTTATGAACCAGTGACCTTTGCATGTGAAGCAAGCATGAGAAACCACTGCAATGCAGAAACTGTGCAGGTTAGGCTAAGAGGTAGCGACCAGCCCAGTCACCCAGAGTCACCGAGTGAGCTTCATGGCCAAGTGAGGATTTGAACCCGGGTCCCCCAGGTCATGGGACGCAGGTGGCGCTGTGGGTTAAACCACAGAGCCTAGGACTTGCCAATCAGAAGGTCGGCGGTTCGAATCCCCGCGATGGGGTGAGCTCCCGTTGCTCGGTCCCTGCTCCTGCCAACCTAGCAGTTCGAAAGCACGTCAAAGTGCAAGTAGATAAATAGGTACCGCTCCAGCGGGAAGGTAAATGGCATTTCCGTGCGCTGCTCTGGTTTGCCAGAAGCGGCTTAGTCATGCTGGCCACATGACCCGGAAGCTGTACGCCAGCTCCCTCGGCCAATAAAGCGAGATGAGCGCCACAACCCCAGAGTCAGCCACGACTGGACCTAATGGTCAGGGGTCCCTTTACCTTTACCCCCAGGTCCTGCACTATAACCATTACACCATTGCTCTGATTGCTAGGTATAAAGATCAGGGAGGGGGAAACCTGTGGCCCTCCAGGACATTTTTGTACTTATGCCATTCTTGGCTTTTGTTAATTTTGGAAAACACAGGTGTCTAGTCTGATTTCAATATTGCTGGAACCAGTTATTCCTCAGAAGCACCTTTACCTGTGGCCAGCTTCACTGCTACCACATCCTCAGTGCCAAGAGTTGTAAGAAATGCAGTCCTTTCATTGTATTCATTTTGCACCAACAGAAGCAAAAAGAGGGGAGATCTCTGCACCATTGAGCGGCTTGCAATCTAGACCGAGGCAAGGGGGAAATAACAGAGGAAGGAGAGGCAGGAATAAACAGAGAAGCAGTGTGGGGTTAGCTGGCACAGTCTGTCATTAGCTCTGGCTCCACCTACTGTTGGCCTCCCTGCTTTCCAGCCCAAAGAACACAAGGCACCACCACAAGTAGCCGTAAACAAGGTTATTAAATTATACAAATGGACATAGAGCTATGTACCAGGGAGAGTGCTCTTGCACTCAGATTCTGCTTTGGGACTAAGTCAAGATAGCAAACTGGCTCTCTGAAAGCAGGTCCTTATGCAACCATCCAGGCACAACAGCTGGCTTGGGGAAACCCAGATGTTTGCTCTTCCACTCCTCTCACAATGCATTTAATAATGCAGCTAAATAAAATATGTTGCATCCCAGAGCGAGCAACCTGCGGCCTGTAAAAGTTGTTGGGACTCTTAGCAGCCTCAGCCAGCATAGTCAATGGTTAGGGATGATGGAAGCTGTAGTCCCAACAACATCTGCCGGGCCGCAAATTCTCCATCCCTTGTGTAACTGTACTGCAAATGAGCAACCCTTTTAAAAACAGTGTTAGAAAAAAAGTAATCTGCTGCGTGGTTTCCAAAGGGTTAATTGACCCAATAAAGCTTTGCAGTAAAATTCTCTTATCCATTGCAAGGTGAAGATAGAAAAACAGAAACATTCCTTCGTCTCAGTTCTGCCGCACATTGATTAGGGACCGAAATGCCCTTGGAATTATCTTGCTTTGGCACTCTCTAGATTCACGTATAAGATGCACATCCTGACCACATTTTGACTAGTAGTACGTGCCGGAGGATGTACATTACGCATGTAAAACGGTGTTTTGTTTTTAAAGGAAGGAAGAAAAACATGATTATTGTGGGAATGTACAGAAACTGTTAAGAGGTATGAGGTGTCTGAAAAAAGTGTCCTTCAAAACTGGAACACTGTAGATTAAAAAGAAAGAAAGAAAAGACACAGACAAAGCAAGTACTTTAAAAAAGCGTATTCCTGAGAGCCACCACATTATTTTGCAATGGTCAGGGACAGAGAAGTGAAAACAATGCTTACAAGGACATAATTTTCTTTCAGTGTCATTAATACAAAAGGAATACCAGCCCCAGCTTTGCTTGTTGCAATCCTGCATGGATTAAAATAATCATTTCGAGGGGCATGCTTTAGAATATTCTCTCTCTCTCTTTAATATATAGTTTTATTGATTTTCCTTCACAAAAGAGAGAAAAGGATACAAAACTGAAATCCCAATTCGCCCCCTACTTTTCACTCCAGGACAGATCCATCTAGTTAAGTTTGCTAAAGTCTAGTCTGTGATTTCAGTAGTTGCCATTCTTCAGGATTATCAGTAAACTATTTTATAAAAGGATGCCAAATTTCAACAAAATTGTCTACATCATTTCTTTTATTCAATGCATGTAATCTTTCTGTTAATTTTTCTGATAATAGGCCATACATTGTATGTCGGATGAGATATACACCAGTGTACAGTGGTACCTCGGGTTCCATACGCTTCAGGTTCCATACGCTTCAGGTTACAGACTCCGCTAACCCAGAAATAGTACCTCGGGTTAAGAACTTTGCTTCAGGATGAGAACAGAAATCGTGCAGCGGCAGCAGGAGGCCCTATTAGCTAAAGTGGTGCTTCAGGTTAAGAACAGTTTCAGGTTAAGAACAGACCTCTGGAATGAATTAAGTACTTAACCCGAGGTACCACTGTATTTCATTTTCCTTTTTTTAAACTTTTATATTTTAGTAATTGCTTTCCTTTTAGCATTAGTACTCCTACTAGAGGCACAGAATTGGAAAGAATTGGAACATCCATGCTTTATTAATCACTAAGGGTAGGGGAAGAGATCCAATTCAGTTTGCATTTGAAACTGAATCTGTCAAACTTGCACTTTCTGAAACAATATGAGAACCAAACCAAACCCATCCTTCAAAATTCACACTTGCAGTGTCGTTCTCCAACCAACAATGTTTACAAAAATGCATATATTCTAGAAAATGTGCCTAAAATGAATGTAGGATACTAAAATGAGTTATCATAAGAAAAATTGGTTACAAAAATGTGTACATTAATCAAAACTGCATCTGAAAATGTGTTTATCGGGAGAAATTCACACTAAAATGCTGAAGAATATTGATGAGGATTTTTTTAATGCAAATGGATGCAGAAATGTGGAGAGCTGAATCTAACACTGGAAGAATGAGAAGTATTGGGAAATTTTTAATTTTTGATGTTTTATTATGCTTTTATATGTGCTGGAAACCACCCAGAGTAGCTGGGAAAACCCAGCCAGATGGGCAGGGTATAAATAATACATTTTTAAAATCATTACTGTGAAACAGAGAGAAAATAAATTGACCAGCCACCCAATCCTACATTGGTTAACTCAGCAGCAAGTCCCACTAAAGCTCTCTTCCAGCATTCAAAATATCGCATGAGGGCTGAATATAGGTAGGGGACGCAGTGTGACATTCTCACCCCGTACGCCTGATAGTCTCTATGGGTGCTGCCCTGTGGCATTTATTCAGACATCTCCAGGGAGATTCTAACCATGTTGCCCCTTCAGTCAGTAAACCTTATTGCACTGGGTTCCAAATTCTAACATTGCTCAACTGAAATCCCCTTCAGTGCACTGCCCAGTGTGCAAAGGTCAGGAAAGTAGCCAGAGCGCACAGGAGCAATGGGATGAGCTTCACTTTAAGCCTTTTCTTCTGAACACACAAAGAGGGCTTCAGTTTAGTGAGATTCACTCCTAAATAACTTTGCATAGGATAGCAGCCATAGTTCTGTGTCTGCGAAGTTCAAATTTATCCCAGTGGCCATTGCTCTGGGAAACTTATAGAAACTTTGGGCTAAGTGGGCTTGGGACTAGTTGTTCCTCCCAGAAGAGAGTCCATCTGTGGCCATTCCACCTACTCATTTATCTATGTTGTATAAAGCCTCTGTCGCTGATTGGCTGAGTTGTTGTGACATCATGGAATATACGAATATCCTGAGCGCTCAGACAACAAATTCATGAGAATATTTGTATTCCAATTTCTTTGAGGGAAGAGGAGTGGTCAGTATGTCTTGGATTAAAGTCAATCTGTTTAAAACACTTTTATTCAATGAAGAATGTGCAGCTGATTGATCAGGCAGCAGTGGTTTTCTGTTAGAAAAAAATATTAAGGCAAGTATGAAAAACTGCCAATGGAAAGCGCCATCTTAAAGGAGAAACTGTTTCCTGCCATCTAGGTAAAACAGATCCTACAATACATAGGGTATGCATCATCTTTTAAAAGACAGCATTGTTCTTCTAATACAAGAACCTCAGCAGATGTAGTTTTTTCCCATTATCACACTTCCATGTTAGCAAAAGCATATTTTGTGGGAGGGAGGCAATGCCCATAAAGGGAATCAGTTGTATGTTTTTATTACACATGAGTAATCTACATGCGTGGGACGCGGGTGGCGCTGTGGGTAAAACCTCAGCGCCTAGGACTTGCCGATCGCATGGTCGGCGGTTCGAATCCCCGCGGCGGGGTGCACTCCCGTCGTTCGGTCCCAGCGCCTGCCAACCTAGCAGTTTGAAAGCACCCCTGGGTGCAAGTAGATAAATAGGGACCACTTACCAGCGGGAAGGTAAACGGCGTTCCGTGTGCTGCGCTGGCTCACCAGATGCAGCTTGTCACGCTGGCCACGTGACCCGGAAGTGTCTGCGGACAGAGCTGGCTCCCGGCCTATAGAGTGAGATGAGCGCACAACCCTAGAGTCTGTCAAGACTGGTCCGTACGGGCAGGGGTACCTTTACCTTTACCCTTTTAATCTACATGCAGTTCTTAAAAATATTGCTCAGAACTGGGTTCCTCCTCTGTAAATCTTGAAAGAGCCCTGTGATGTTTTTGTAAATGAAGGAAGAAGTTTCTGCTTCTCCAGCTGAGTGCTTATTAAGTTTCTCAGCTTGCTGTTTCTAACAACTTATACTTTAGTTTCTGGAGAAGCAATTTACGACTTCATACCATGTCTGAGGTTCTAAAGCAGGTGTGGGCTGTAATCCACTGGGAGCAGTCAAGTACAACATTCCTTGTATAGCTAGAATGGACATGCAAGGGAATGTTTGGTCCAGGCAGTCGAAACTTCCTGTTCCTCCTGGCCTGGAGCATGCTTCCTTGCATGTGACTAGCAGGTGGGTGTGACCTTTCCAGACCTGGTAAAAGGCCAAGTCACGCTGCTACCTTCCTCTTTTCAACCTTCTTGTTCGCCCTGTCTGCTCCCTCCATCACCTAGACTGTACTGCTGGCTGCCACAGCAGTTCCCCAAGTTATCTCCCATATGGGGTAAACCTGTTTGTACATGTTTGTAACTTTAAGCCTAAAGCCTGCCTTCAGGGATCACACTGTGCTCTGCCTGATCACAAGTAAAACTACTTTTTGTTACTTATGAATAAGACTGTGGTGTCTTTATTCATTTAGGAGGGATTCCAAAGGGGTCTTATCAGGAATATTAGAACATACCTCAATCTGGACAAGCCAGATTGAATTGCTTATTGTCTTAAGAAACTCAAATGAGTTTGCAACCAGCTTTCTGCTGTGTAAGAAGGGAAATGCACTCTGCTAAGTGAAGAAACTTGCTAGCGCAAGTTAGGAAGGATATTAATAAACAATATAGCCTCTCCTGCCACCCTCAACATTCCCATAGCAGGCCCAATGCAATATTGTCTTTCTTGCAAGCTTGGTGTGGTGTTTGCCTCCTAGGTGGGTCATAAGGAAAGGGTTTAATGAGTGTGATGTGATTTGCCAGAGAGAAACTGATAGAAGGAGTTAGAGTGAGAGTGGAGCTGTGTGGAAGTCAGCTGAGAGTTGGTGAAGGAAGAGGGAGGATATAAGTCTGTGGGTTGGTTGTGCTGTGTGGTGAGAGAGTGAGAGGAATTGTTAGGTGGAGTCAGATAGATAGTTGGAATAATCAGTTTGAAGTTGTTAGGAATGCATAGGACAGTTATGGAACTAAGATTAAGAAATTGCCAAGAAAGATTAACTGAAACCATAAGCTTGTTCATGCCTATAAATAAACTTGATTATTTGTTAAAGTTAACAACTGTCTGGACTCTGTGTGTACCCGTGAGACACGGGTTGGTGGCAGCGAAGAAAGCAATCACAGTGGTGGCACAGGGTCAATAGACCGTCAAACATCCGGGGACCCTGTGTGATCGCCACACTTGGGAATCGGGCAATACTACCGAGAATATGTAAAGCCAGCTAACTAGCTGGCAGGACGTTTAATCTAATAATGTATTGTTGCATGTCAGTGTCAATTTAATTATAAAGGTTCTGAAGTGGCTTACAGCAGAGATGGGGAACCCGTTCCGTTTCCATCTGGGAAACATTTGGGGGACAAATGCCAGTGGTGGTTGAGGCCAGAGACAAAAGTGGGCGTATCAAGAAATGTAAATATTGTCTTTGTAATATTAAGAGAGTTCAGGGTTCTACCCAGTAGAATGAGTTCTACCCAGACGAGCGCTTGTGTGGGATGTGCCCTGGGAGTGTGGCTAATGAGGGTTGTGGCCCGAGGAGAGTGTATCTAAACATATGCAGTGTGGCCTTTCCATTTTAAACGCTGACTGTGAAAGCAAGTGACAGTGGAACCGAAATGAATATAGAAGGTCTTCTCACATGATCACTGAGGACGTGGCAGCTGTAGCAAGAGCGCTCAAAAAGTCTGCATGAATTGTCTCCCAGTCTGCGATTAGTTTGATTATGTGCAGGATGCGTGTGTCGGGGAGGGGGTGGGCAAAGGGACATTTGCAGCAGAATGTCAACAATTCACTGCACATCCTGCTCTCAGCGCTCCTTCTGCAAATGCCAGCCTCCCAGGCGGCATAGCAGTACCTGACAAACATAAGCGGAGGCAGGTGAAATCACAAGCAAATTGGGTGGTTGTGGAGGGAACACCATGAAAACATCCAAGTAGGAAGCTGTTATCTGAGTGAAAAGAATCGCTCTTTGTTACACAGGCTTCACCAATCTCCTCTCCTGTGTGCTGTGGCTCTCAGTCAATAAAGGTGGTTTTCTTCCTGCTGGGCAAGTCTTATCTTTCTAATTTATTACCGGAAGGCCCTATTTAATACCCTAGCAACAGTCAATGGCTGCTAGGAGTCTCCCCCCCCCTTTGTCAGGGACCCAGCAGGAGACACCCAAGGCGAGATATTTCCCTCCCTCCCAAATAAAATTTTATTGTCATTTTAACAGTTGCAATAAAAAAGTATTAGTAGCAAAAAATATTTCCAGTAGGATAATCTCGTAAAGCATTCAAACAATACTTATCTGATAATATTGTTAGACTCCATTGTAAAGTATTCTATCTTCTGCATACACCTTCCTGTGTGGAGGGTGGACGAAGGGTATTTTCCTTTTCATTTATCAAAGAGAAAGAAAGGGAATCCATTTCACCAAAATTATCCTTCTCTGAGGTACCTTTGGTTACCTTCTTATGGCAGGTGAGGTGTTCTGAAAGCGCTGTATCTTTCAAATATTATTTATCCAGATTTCAACTGGGACTTCAGTAGTATTTCCCCATTGCTGGGTAATTGCTGAGCAAGCCGCCATTAGCAGAAAACATCAGCAATGTCTACACAACATGATGACCATGTACATACTCAATAAACAATCTCAACTAAAGATTTCATTTTGTACTTGTTATGGTTTGAAGGAATTCTATAAAGATTGTTTATTGCATATGTACATAGTCATCGTGTTGCCTAGACATTGCTGACATTCTCTTTGCAACACCAGGGTTTGTTTTGTTACTATTAGCAGAAAACAAACTAGGTCCTTAGATTTAAGATTAACATTTAAGTTTAGATCTAGTGATAACAGTGCCAGGGCTCAATTGGGCATAATATTCCATAATATTGATGATCAGATGAAAGATCTTATCCCAGACTGAATAGACTATCTTACAGCCCTACCAAGCTTGAAAAAAGGAGTCCATCCCTCTACAGCCTTTCCAACATGAGGGGGAAATAGATGTGTTTATTTTTGCAAAGTGGTTTATAAATTCTTAAGCAAATAAATCCATGGTTCCCAACATGGGGCACAGGTTACGAACGGTTTCCAGTTACGAAGGGACCTCCAGAATGGATTCCATTCGTAACCAGAGGTACTACTGTAATAAGAATTACCCGTATATGTCACGCGGGGGTGGGGCATCAGGATTTTAGAGATGCTTAGGTGGGGCATGGCCAAAAAAGGTTGGGATCCACTGAAATAAATAAATTGTCATTGCAAATTTTAAACGGCATTTTTAAAAGATCTGGATTAGTAGCTGCTGTGTTGTACTCTATCTTTATTGATAGTTGATAATGTATTTGTATCGAGGAGCAGGGCACAAAATGAGCATTAAAAACAAACAAGGATTCTTTAGCTAAAACAGAGTAAGTGTGAGGACAATACTGTACTACTTTCAGAGCCTCAGTTAGGGGAATCAAAATGATACCCAAATGTGGTATCAGTAGGTGAGGTTGCCTGTGACTAGACTGTACCACTTAAGACTGTAGAGCATGGATGGGCAAACTAAGGCCCGGGGGCCGGATCCGGCCCAATTGCCTTCTCAATCCGGGAATCAGCATGTTTTTACTTGAGTAGAATGTGTCCTTTTATTTAAAATGCATCTCTGGGTTATTTGTGGGGCATAGGAATTCGTTCATTTCCCCCCCCCCCACCAAAAAAAAATATAGTCCGGCCCCCCACAAGGTCTGAGGGACAGTGGACCGGCCTGAAAAAGTTTGCTGATGCCTGCTATAGAGGGTTTGATGCTGCTCCTTACCCCAAAATGCTACACAGATACATTCCTAAGAGAATAGAGAACCTGTCAAAGAGAGGACTGGGCTAAAACTCTTCTCCCAGACATGACATTGTAATCAGTGTTGTGTAACCCACCCACACTGCTGTCTGCTTCTTTTCATATTGTTGCTGCTTGAAGCCCGACTTTCAGAGACAAAATTGCTAATCCATTTCAAGGTCACATACAACTAGTTATTCTTTAGAAGTTAAAGAACGCAAGTAAATATTGAAAAAGGACTTTTGGATCAAAATCGTGCCACCCTGCCACACTTGCCTTTGTGTCGAATAAGCAGCCTTAAATGGAGAGGTTGCCTCGGAGCAGAATGACCTGATTGCAAAACCAATTTTAAAGTTTGCGAAGTCAACAAATAGATATCAAACAAACTGCTGCTATTTTGCAGGTGGGATTCAAGCAGATGCGGCAAATTTGGGGTGTGCAATTAAAGTAGATTTATTGCTCCTGCACATCAAGCACACTTTTTAAAAACCCTGTGCTTTTTGCAGCAAGGAAAGTGTTGGGGAAATGAACAGGAAAAGGATAACAGTTGCTGGATGTGACGTCATATAGCCGCCCAGCAAACACCAGAATGAATGGTGAATAAGCAGTGGCAAAGCCATAACTCCCCCTGCCCCACTTGCAAATATGTGCAAACATATCAGGATGAATGCGCAGCAGACAGGTCATCTGGAGGGGACGGTAATTGGGTTTCAGACATAGGCAACAAATATTCAGAGAAAGTTTGGTGAATATTCTCCCACCCAGACACAACAGCAAGAGAGATCTTAGGAAACATTTTAGGAGCAAATGTTTCAGCCATAATTTGAGCTTGTATAAGATCCTGAATTAGCCTGTGTGGAATTTGTTCGACGTTTTCCCCTTTTGTTTTAAAATCAATTTGCCCCATGTTGTGGGAAGCCGCTGTTTCATAAAAGTAGACCCTTAAGATTCATGGAATTAGTTTCCTGTTTCTTTGGATCCTGGCCCATGAACTACAAAAACTGCAAGCAATTACTGAGTAGCATCTGTTGTCATGGTGGCTGCATACCGTGGTTGGCAAAAAAGGGCTTTGATTCATCAGTGAGAGCTTTAGCTGAGTTTTCTATCTGACAGGTTTTCAGTGCTCTAGGAAAGCATGTATAAGTGTTTAGGCTAGAAGCCTCTGAGCCAAGATGGGTGAGCTAGAGTGCTTGATTATAGAAGACAGCATAGCTAAATGCTGCATTCATACAGCGGTTTATTCTGTTTCCCTAACTGTTAATTTCTGTATTATATCTGAGTTTTCACATAAGGTGAAAGCCAGTCATGGAAACATAGCAGAATCTAGTGGGCATCTAGCACTCATTTCCATGAAATTGTTTCCAGGAATAATCCATTTGCAACCCCATTAATCCAGAAAATTGCAGGAATAAAGTGACAAAATTTGGTGTGTGTCAAGGGCATGTTGAGTTTTTCAACTTTCAAATTCCCAAAGTGAGGGGTGCTCCAAAGTTGTAACATGACTTGGGAATTCAAAAGATGTTTTTGTTAAATTAATTTGATAAGTAAAATGTGTGTAAAATTGAATAGAAATCATTAAAAATTATTGCCAAGTACTTGCACTTTTTATTATTATTATTAAGCATTGCCTGACATTTTCAGAGGGTAAAATTAAAATTCTTTCATTTACTGAAAGCAGTTTATGTGCTTCTTCATCAACCATAAACTTCCAAGCTGAATGTTGTACAACCACAAAAATAATAACAGATTTGAATTCCTCACACCCAAAAACATATTTTTAAGACCCCTCACTGAAGAAATTTGCAAAAATTAAGTTTCACCCATTTAAAATGACAGCATACCATTTTGGGGGCAGCATACCATTTTTTCCTGTTGTTTTCATGGATGAATCATGGGGGAACAGAAACATGTATGCATGTAAACAGTGGGAGGTAATGATGTGTCCAATGATGTTCATTGTGTCACACTAGTGTGAATGAAATTAAGCATGACCTGCTGGTAAATTGGACATAAAGCTACAGTTTCATGGTGCAACAGGTACTGTAGTGTGAAATAAATGTTCAAAAATGGGCAAAAGTACTAGCATCAAAAACAGGAAAAGCAATGCTTAAGACGGTAGATAGTTGCTGGGGAAGAGTCTGATTTTCTTGTTGTTACTCAGGGAGCTATTTCTAATCTATATGCAGCTATCCGGGAGTCAATGAAGTTCAGGTCTCTGTTTGCTATAAGTCTTCCCATAGGAAGGTTTCTGGAAATGATTTTTATATGTTTATTTTATTTCCCCGCCCCCTGCCTCCAAGCTAAAGTATTGATTGTATTCTCAGACCACATATACTGCCAGGATGACATTATACTGCTGTTCTCTTGGAACAACAGAGCCTAGAGGCCATTTTATGATGGATGAGGAAAAGCATTAAAAATGGATGGTGCAAATGCAAGGCAACACAAAACTGAATGAGACTGCAAGCGCTTTAGGGGAGAAGATTTTAATTCCAAATCTAGGTACACCCCATAAAGTCAAAACCTCCTCCTACATTTCTATTAGTATTTTTCTGTTAGAGACCAAGGGAAAAAAATATAAAGAAGGACCAAATGTGACAATCTAACAGGAAGAATAACTATCTTAGGCTGAGCCAGCACCTACTGCTTTTCCATACGTATGTTTCAAATGCAGAAGACAGAAGTTAGTGCACTTTGTTCCGACCCAACAGCTATCCCAGACTGACATTCCGCTTCTGATTATTCTGCACTTGAAACAGCTAATTAAAGAAGAAATCCTCATACTGTTTTGTCTTCTGTCCAAATCCCTAACAGGTGTTTCATCAAGAGGAGGAGTCTGCAGTTTTGCTCCAAAGTTCTTACTGGGGGAAATTCAGTAGCAACTCTAAAAGGTATCAGCAACTTTCATATTTTGCAAATATGGCAGCTCAAGTCCTGCTTGCAGGTTTACTATAGGAAGTTGACCAATATGAGACCAGGAAGCTGCACTGGATGGGCCTTTGGCTCTTCTGATTTTATGAAGTTCTTAATAAGAGAATAGCTTAATGACATAGTAGTCTGGTAGCAACTTACTGTGTCCTTGTGCTTTCACGGTAAATGCCTGATTAGGGGTACGATGTTCCTAACAATCCGGAACGCTGCCCAGAACAAACAGAGAGAAATGCACCGTGCTAAGGACTTGCACATAGTGGCAGATGGCCTAAGGGACTTGAGCTACCTGGTGGAAAATCAAGTGACCCCCATGCCCACCCCCAGCCTACAATATGGCCTTCTCTAGTAAAAATGTAATCTAAGATTTCTACTGTGAGCCCAATTCGTTCTTGGCTTTGAACCGAATTCTAATCAGGAGTCACCCTGAGCATGGTCTCCTCGACCATTCTCTACTATTTACCATCCATAGTTGTGCCAAGTGACCATGAGGGTGAATTATTATCTTGGAGATACCATAGAAAACCAGTTGTTTCAACGACAAATGAAAGCGCTAACTCAACAAAAGCATTCGGCAAGGGTTTAAGTTCTGCTAGGGCAAAACCCGAGATTGGAAGTCATCACCCCACCAATGAATTACTGGCCAATGAATTACTTACGAAGTTTGGGCTTTAGCAACCAGCAAACGTTTACTGCAGTCTTTGAGATCAGTTCAGAGGGTGCTCTTGAATATATCTTTCCTATCTCACCTGCTTTTTACCCAGAGTCCTCATACGAATATGGGTGCCATCTTAGATTTCAGTGGAGATGGAAGAGGGAAGTCTATGTATTTGGCAGTATAACAAGGTACATTGCAGGAGATACTTATTGGATAATCAAGGCTACATCTAAAGCAATGACAGTTGTTAGGAGGGTCCTGTTCCTTTCACAGAGCTACAGTTTGCCAGAGTATCTTATGAAGAGAGCCTCCTAACAACTCCTGCAGTTCCGTTCCCAGAATTCTTTTGGGAAAGCCATGGCTGTTTAAAGTGGCATCACAGTGGTTTAAAGGTATGGTTTTAAAGTGGCCTTAATCAAAACACCAACCTTAGCTCCTCATTCACGGGCTGTGAAGCCACCTCACTTCTCAACACAGGGGTGGGGCTTCAAATTTCACCCATTGCACCAGGGAAAGAAGTGAAGTCACAACACATGATACATTTAAAGCACTGTGATGCCACTTTAACAGTCATGGAGAACCCAGGGAACTGTAGTTAAGGGCACTGGCCCCATAGAGCTGCGACTACCAGCGCCCTTAGAAAACTGCAGTTCCTGGATTCTCCATGACTAGCAAAGTGGTATAATAGTGTTTTTAATGTATGGTGTGGATGAGATAGGTTCAGGGCTGGCTGAAGACATTTTGATACCTGAAGGGAAAGAACAAGATGGTTAGGCTGAAAGATGGAGACCTGCCCAAGCTCGTCAGTGAGCTGAGTGGGGATTTGAATTGATGCTCTCCTTGGTTCAGCACTCTAACCAATATACCAAATAACTGGGCTGTTAGCTTTATAGCCATAATCACATTCAGCACAACATTTGTAGCACTGGTTTTCTATACAACAGGATCAGGGAATCTTTCACCTTCCAGCTGTTCTTGGATTTCAGTTGCCATCAGACCAAGCCAGTTAAGTCAGTCCTTGCAACTGCCTCGTTGGAGCAAGACCTGCTGGGGAGAGTTGCTGAGATCACTAGGCCTGCACTGTTTTGGTTTCTTCTAATAAAGAGCAAACTTCACGGTCACTGTGGTTTTTTTATTGCCGACCTACGTCTGGCTCCAGCTCCTGACAGTATGCTGCAATGCCCATCATCCCAGATGATTAGCTGTGGCTGATGGAAGTTGGAGTCCAACAACATCTGGAGGGTCATCCTTGTTGAAGGGCTCCTGGTCGACCACTGTGGGAAGCAGGATGCTAGACTCAATGGTTACCTTTACAGCACATTTGAGGCAAATTTCCCCCTCAAAGAATTCTGAGCACTGTAGTATTTTTAGGAATACTGGTTACCCTCACACTATATATATATATTTAAAAGGGATGCGGGTGGCGCTGTGGGTTAAACCACAGAGCCTAGGACTTGCCGATCAGAAGGTCAGCGGTTCGAATCCCCGCGACAGGGTGAGCTCCCGTTGCTCAGTCCCTGCTCCTGCCAACCTAGCAGTTTGAAAGCGCGTCAAAGTGCAAGTAGATAAATAGGTACCACTCTGGCGGGAAGGTAAACGGCGTTTCCGTGCGCTGCTCTGGTTCGCCAGAAGCGGCTTAGTCATGCTGGCCACATGACCCGGAAGCTGTACGCCGGCTCCCTCGGCCAATAAAGCGAGATGAGCGCCGCAACCCCAGAGTCAGCCATGACTGGACCTAATGGTCAGGGGTCCCTTTACCTTTACCTTCATATATATATATATATAAGGGTGTGGTGACTTCTGTTTCAGTGTATCTGAAGAAGTGTGCATGCACACGAAAGCTCATACCAATAACAAACTGAGTTGGTCTCTAAGGTGCTACTGGAAGGAATTTTTTTATTTAGGAATGCTGGTAATTGTAACTCTGTGAGGGGTAAACTCCAGTGCCCAGAATTCTTTGAGGGAAGGAATGTGCTTTGAATGTGTTCTAAAGTTATAGTGTGTACACAGCCCTTTGATCTAGCATATCTCTTTTATGTTATTCTGTTACTTGTGCAGCCTCCCCCAACCTGGTTCCTTCCTGAAATTTTGGACTACCACTCCCATCAGCCCCACACAACATGGCCAATGGTATATTGAGGGTTGAAGTCCAAAACATATGGAGGGCACCAGGTTGAGGAAGACAGAAGAGATCTGTTTTTCTGTCACTGCAATCCTTATGGATATACCATCTTTTAGAGTTCCTTAGTGATCATGTGGCTAAAGATCCAAATGTCAATATATTTGTATTTTTCAATGGAACGCCCAGCATTTTCCTCCCAGCTCTGAAAATATTTTTCCTCTGCAGCATTGCACTTCGCAGTTAGGAACTGAATAGTCCTCATACTAACATAGATGCAGAAAGCTCACATCTACACCAGTGTCTAATGGGCAGAAATTACCGCCTGCTGGATCTCGCTGTTTCAAAGCATCCTAGTTTTTCTGCAAATTAATAAATGGCTCCCTTGCTTTTTAAAAAACTAAAAGAATCACACAGCTAGTGTTGCATGAACTCAGATATATGTTTGAGCAGTGGAAGAAAAGCCTGCTGCTGAAATAAAACTAAGTAGGAGGACAATATTTGTTTTATGATAAAGGGTAAGGTTTATGCTTTATTGAGTGCCAGGCTCTCACAGCACCTGCAAACAAAGTATGTACACCAAAATCCCTACTATATATTAGAAAACCTTCAGCAAAGGAGTTGCTCTTCTGATTTTCAGTTCCCCAGCAAAAAAAAAAAAAAGGAGATGACCATGTCCTGGACAAAAAGAAAAGTAACATAGGGATAGCCTTGCAGACAGCCAACTTTGAGATCAACTGAATTCACACTCTTGGTTATATTGTTCTGACATCATCTGCTTGCGTGGCGAGGCCCTGTGACCACCCTGTTCCCCAAGGTGCAAATAACTAGACAACACACAGGATATTGGTTTGGGATCAAATAAGGACACAACTTTATGGATTACAGATGTGGAGGTTCGGCCATAGGAACTGAGGTAAGCAACTGTGTATGTCACTCTTCTGTCTGTCCGCTGGGAGTGTTTCTAAGGATGAAGCCAGCAAGGGGCAGGGCACACTCTCTATGACCTACGTCAAATCAGGACATCCCCTAAGTGGCCCTGTTGGAGGAGTGGTATGGCCCTAGTCCCCTTCTGGGCATTGGACAGGAGCCACTCTTCCCAGATCCTTTTAACAGGACACCCTTACCCGTAGAGGGGCAGGCAGAGGCTACAACCTTCCCCCCAACCAAAACGAGGCTTACCCAATGCCTATACTCTTCACAAAGTTGTGATAATTGCTATGAGGTAGGTGAAAACCCACATGGCGGAGCCAATTTGCCAGATGGGGGAAAATTCCTGCCCGACCCCTAAATCTGGCTACCATCCACAAAAACCCTAATCTGAGGGTGGGCAGGTGGGAGAACCAGCATGGTGAGAGGCCAAAAGGCCCTGCAGGCTGGGCATTTATTCTTGCTCTGGGGGCAGTGCCAAGTGCCACTACTGGTCAGTTGGCACCGCACCCAGGGGAACACCCCCTAAATTCCTGCCGCCACTGGCCAATTCAGTGGCAGCAGGACGATCCAGCCTGCAATAGGCCAGTTCACAAGGGTCCTCTGCAAACTGACATCTCACCTTAACAGTCATGGTGTAATGAAGTGGTGAGGAAACGGCCCTTTTTTAGCCAGGCAGTGCTTCTGATTTTCCGCAACCATGCCTACTTGCCCTACACCTTGTGACACCAGCTGTGAAGACACAGCAGTGAAGGAACAAACAGGATCTTAAAAGTACGGTGATACTTGTTCCTCGACAAGTGTGGTACACTGTCAGCATTCTATTCCACATTATATTTTAGCTTTTCCATGTCATAAAAGCCACTTCTGGGAAACTAATGGCATATAGTCCATATTTAGCGATTGCTTTTGTGTTATTTGATTCCAGAAAAATTTCCATTTGCAGCCCCCAGAAACCCAGAAAAAGACAAAATTTGGTGCAGTATACCAGCATACAGTCCTTTCCTGCTGTTGTCCTGGATGATTCATGGAGGAAGAGAACCATGCATGTGCAGAAAGGATAATAATAATAATAATAATAATAATAATAATAATAATAATTTTATTTATACCCCACCCTCCCCAGCCAAGATCGGGCTCAGGGCGGCGGATGGGAGAGTAATGAACTTGTCCGATGATGTTCCTTGTTGTGTCATGCAACACTCACTGGAGTGAATGAAATTTAGTGTGACATGCTGGTATATCAGTTAGAAAGCCCCAGTTCTATAACACAGCAGGTGTGAAAGGAACATTGGAAAACAGAAGCACTAGCATTATAGTCCAGAAAACCAATGCAATATTCCCCACGTCTGAATGTACCACTCGTCTCCCAGTAAACAAATCAGAATGCATGCTCAGGAAAGAGCCAATGTGTTCTAACATCCCTGCGCATGTCATACATACAAATCAAAGGTAAGGTAAAAAGGGGTCCTTTACCTTTTACATACAAATCAGGACACATGCATACAAATTAGGCTATATGGAAGCAACCTAACACTTTGGTCTTCTGCCAATACACAACTTGGTTACACCAAAGGCATCAGTCCCGAACAGCTACAATCCTCAAACTGAAATGGTGGGTCCCTAGTACAGTGGTACCTACCTCTGGTTGCGAATGGGATCTCTTCTGGAGGCCCATTTGCAACATGAAAAGAGCGCAACCTGAAGTGCCATATCTGCGCAGGTGCGCAGTGTGATTTGGCACTTTTGCGCATGCACAGAGCGCAATTTAGCGCTTCTGCGCATGCGCCAGCGGCGAAACCCGGAAGTAACCCTTTCCGGTACTTCTGGGTTGCCGTGGGACGTAACCTGAAACAATGTAACATGAAGCAAACGTAACATGAGGTATGACTGTAGATGAATTTTCCATCACCAAACGCTCTTCTGAATTCTTCAGTTAACTTTTAGCTAGGTTGTGTGTGTTTTTAAAAAAGCCTTTTCAATTATCTGAGAGTATTTGCAAGGCAGAAGCAAATGCTCGATTGAACGACAACACAGAACATCAGCCCCCTTTGTCTCCCCAGAATGACAGGAGTTGCTAGGATGCACTAATACCACCAGGCCAATTATATTAGCAGCATTTATGCCAGCTCCCCACCACCACCGCCCTTCATTCCTATCTCCCATTTTGTTTCAAATTACAGCAATTACTCCACAAAAGGTTTAATGCTAGCTAGCACTCTTTATTCCAGTTGTTCTCAATATCTTGATCCCAGAGAGAACCAATCAATGGGGGCTATTTCATCTCCATTCTGTGCAATCTTTGTGTGCAAATCCCCCCCCGGCCCCCATTCAGCCCAAGCTACTGAAGGACTGCATTCACTTCCAGAAGCGAAAAAAGCAATAATTTCACGTTCCCAGGGCCAAGTATAAAAATGACATAGTAACAAAAGAATGGCCTTGTTGAATCAGACCAAGGCCTATCAAATCACAGGATTTTGTACCCAGCAGCAGGCAGGCGGATGTCTTCTGCCTGAAACAAAAGATAACTCTGGCAGTGGTACCATCAGGGAAGGAAGACGCCCAGAGTCTCATTTGGAGGAATACAGTGGTACCTCGGGTTACATACGCTTCAGGTTACAGACTCCACTAACCCAGAAATAGTGCTTCAGGTTAAGAACTTTGCTTCAGGATGAGAACAGAAATTGTGCTCCGGCGGCGTGGCGGCAGCAGGAGGCCCCATTAGCTAAAGTGGTGCTTCAGGTTAAGAACAGTTTCAGGTTAAGAACAGACCTCCGGAACGAATTAAGTACTTAACCCGAGGTACCACTGTAAGGGGGAGCAAATACAGCCAGGGTTGGTTACCGCATTTTGAAATATGTGAATTAATACACATTCCCACCTGAAAAGCCCACCCCATACCCCATAAAACTGTTAACTCCAAAGTCCGAACAGGTCTCTGGAACATCAGAAGCAGGAACATGCTAAAGATGTCCATTCCCTCTTTTCCCCCCACAGACTCATCCAGAAGATCATGTGTTTATTGGCTGCATCTTCCAGTCTCCTTGCCTGGCCTTGGTCCTTTATCAAGCAGAATACAGAATCACAGGGGCAATCCTTTCTCTTACCAAATGTTTTGTTTTGTCCTGATGTGTAATGCGTATTTTGGAATAACTTTGCATAGCCACAACATAGCAATTTATCGCTTGCAAAAAAAGCCTAACCCCTTATTTGGAGCTTTATTTTTTTAAAAAATAAATAAATTAAGGATTAGGCAAATCCATGGAGGTCACTTCCATCAATAGCTATTAGCCACGACAAGAGAGACTTGCAACAAATCTTGCAGCATGGAATGTTCCAGTTCAGGGCTCCAGCCAGGCAGCAATCCCTCCTTTCAAGAGGCTTCCATATCATCACTTGTTGGTCTGTAGGCCAAATATACTGGAAGTGAACCGAGCATTCCATTCCACTTTCTGCTTTGAACTTGAAACATAGGACAGTGTCTGGAACAACTTTGAGTCCAGTATTCACAGAGACTCCATAGATACTTCAGTACTAGAGTATATTTGTTCACCGTCGCACACCACCCCAATTTCAAAGCTGTACGAGATTCCAGGGGTTCCAGGCACTTGCCCAGGGTCCATGTTTCCTTTTGGAAATGAGCCACAGCGGAGACTGTGGTGTCTTTGTGATATATGGTTTATTTACACATATATACAACCTGAGTCTTCAGTGGAGGGATTTTGTTTCTCCCACAGCTGCAGCCTTAGATCCCACAAGAAATCAACCATCATATCCTGACCTTCTTTCCAGCTTGCCATCTTTACCAGCCTGCAACCTTATCCTTCTAGGTCCCATCCCAGCCACCTCTCAGACTACTTCACACTCTGCCTTTTTCTTCTAACGAACTCTCAGTTTGCCATCTGGTGCACAGCCCCCTCTCTTTGGCTTTCCTAATGGCTCATCGCCTTCCTTATGTTCTCCTAATGGCCCATCACCCCAGGCGATTTCCTGAACACAGGAAATTGGATCCAGGAATTAGGAGTTTGGCATCCAGTTTAACTCTCAAAGACTTGGTTAAATGCACACAAACTACTGGACCTAGGAATTTAGGGGAGTCTGACACCTACAAATTTAGAAGAATACTCTTAGCTATGATGCAGTGCTACAGACTAGCTATTCTTTCTCCTCATCTTATATTTGCAGTCTTCAACGTCTCAGGAAAGCAGTTAAAAAAATATTCCAATTCTGTGTACAAGATATGGGGTAAGGAATTGTCCCCTAGGGACTTTGTGATGTGGAGTTCAAGTCTCACATGCTGCTTTTATGACATGATATTAATAGCTGGCCCGTGTTGCCTGTGATGCTGCTGCTTAAGGAACAACCAGTTCTTTGTGCACTTTGTTTTTTGGGCCAAAGGTGTGTAGCATTGATTTGACACCTTGGCAAATATAAAGAATTGAAGAATTATCATAATGGTAAATAAAAGGGTTGGATGGTGAGGCTAGACTCTGGCCTTTCCAAGAAAAGTCAAATATTGCTTCATTTAGGGGCCAGGTTATACAAACAAAAATGACATTTTTTTGGTGGGAAATCTGGGATCAGCAGTAAATTTGTAATATACAAATCAAGATGACCCATCATTAAATCAAAGGCTGGTGGCACATGTCCATTCTTCCTCCATGCCACCTGTATAGCCTGGCCTTAAAGTCACATCGTGACAATGCTTAATGTGAAACCTGCTCTTCAGAGGTTATTTCTATGTGGTTATGGATATGTTATTGATAAATCTGCAATATTTGTTGGATTTATCAGTTAGATCAGGTGTTGGCCGTGGCCCCCAGCCTGGTGGAACGCTCTCTCACGAAAGACCAGGGCCCTGTGGGATTTGACATTTTTCCACAGGGCCTGCAAGATGGAGCTGTTCCACCAGGCCTTTGGTCGGGGTTCAGTCTGATTCTTTTCTTTCTGTATAAGAACAAGCATTAAAGAGGCCTCCTAGCCTGCTCACAGGTCCTTAATAAGACCAGTGGTGACAGTTGGCCCTGGAGAATATTAACAACTCTCAATTTTACCCATGGACTGCCATCTGTCCAGATTTTCATTTGCTCTGAACTAATTTCAAGATGTATTTTAACTGATTGCCTGTTTTTATGTTCTTATGTTCTTTGTATACTGTGTTAGTTTTATGATGTTAGCCGCCCTGAGCCAGGCTCCGGCCGGGGAGGGCGGGGTACAAATAAAATTATTTTATTATTATTGTTATTGTTATTGTTATTATTAGCAATGTGGTGCCTTTGGGCACCAGTATACCCGCTACCTCCTATGGTGCCCACGAAAGCCCCCCCTCAAAAATACAGAGTGCATGAGAGAATACTTGCTGTTCCGGATCACTTTGTGTTTGCACTTACTGCAATCTTCTGCATTGAAAATACCCCCTTAAATATGCCCATATTTCGCTGGACACCTGCCCTCATTTCTGAAGAGAGGAGAGGTGCAAAGAGCTTCTCTCTGTGAATGAGTGTGACAATGGCTGATACAAGCACTTTTTCCCATCGATAGAGGGGATGCCTGCACCATTTCACAAAATCCTGTATCCTTTTTTTTTTGCTCTTTTAGATATGGCCGCCATTTTGTGTTATGCCACACACCTGTGGCAGCCATTTTCTGACTAGAGCCCACAGAACTTTTTCGAAATTCCAAATGTGCCATTGCCCCCAAAAGGTTTTGATTGCCGTGGGTTACATTAATTGATTTAAAACCTCGTTTAAGTCAAGTGAATGAAGTACAGAACTGGGAGCCATCTGCCAGTTGCCCTGAGACTGCAAAGCAGAAGCGGGGGGGAATACTCCGGCCCCATCCATCAGTCAGATGACCCAAAGGTCCCTGGAAGTCTGCCTTCCTTGCGTCTCAAGAACATTGTAATAGCAAGGGGAATACTCTGTCCATCAGCCATATAGAAGGAACAGCTATAGGGTGCTTTTTCCCCAGCTTGTCTTGCCAGAAAGGACACTTGACTCCAATTGCCAGTAGCCCTAGGGCTACAGAATCAAAGGGAAACATACACTAGCCTTTGAAATCAGCTGTAGGGCCTGCCGAGTTGTGTGTGGATTTAATGCACTGGAAGCTGATCTTTTAGTGCAGGAGAAACTACAGTATGCGTTGAAACTAACATTTGGAAGGGACCCTCACTATGCTATAATGTTTTACCTGCCTGCTAAATACTATTTTATTTCAGCAGGTCTGACCAGATACATAATTTAGTTATTTACGAGCCGAGATAACATATTTTTAAAATTTGCCGGTTTTATCTGTATATTATTGCTAGGGATGGGAGATATGTTTTATTTGGTTTGCACTGAAAGGCAAACAGACCTAATTTCCACTTTCTGAAGCAATATATAAACCGAAGTACAGCCATCCTTCAAAATTGGCACTTCTTCAGTTTTTGCAAATGCAGTTCTCCAGGCAAGTAATTTATATAAATATGTATTTACTCTGCTGAAGTGGGCATAAAAATGCACATAGCAGTGAAATAACATAGAAAAATGCATTCTGCTAGGGAAAGTAAATATCAGGGGAAATGTGCTTTGTCAAAATGTGCTCTGAGGTAAAATTGCATAGCAGGAGAAATTTGCACAGAGGTGCTGGTGAATTTTCATGTGGACTTAAAAAATATCCGCAAAATGTCAAGTACTGAATACTGGAACGAAAGAGAAGCTGAAATTCACCCTTCCACACATTGTTAGTTGTTTTACATTTGCCTCTTAGAGGGTTTAAACAAGCACACCCTGGGTGACAATTTATCTAGGAAGTTGTATTAAACAATTGCAACCTGTGCAAGCCATCTTAAGAATCATTTCACTGAAAGGTTTCGAACTAAAGAAGCCTTCTAAATGGACCTTTGGCGGTAGAATGGGGTGGGTGGTGTTCTACTTTTAATATCAAATGGGGGGGTGAAGGAAGGGAAAGTCTCTCTCTCTCTCTCTCTCTCTCTCTCTCACACACACACACACACACACACACACACACACCCTTACAAGACTGTGAGCAACTTCACTATTCATCTACCTTTTCCTATGTAAACTGCTTTGAGAACTTCTTGTTACGGGAAATATATAAAAAAATTCTAAATAAATAAAAGGGAAAAAAGCAATAGCAGTCCACCCAGAGAGAGAGAGAGAGAGAGAGAGAGAGAGAGGAAATGTATCAACAAAATGGGGGACAAGGGTAAATATTTGTTTAAAATTTGCATGTGCTGATTTATATGTATAAATTTAGATTTAGAAACAACTGCTGCTAGTAAAATAGAAATAAAGTACAACTCACCTTGTTGGGGAAGGCAGCAACCTGCTTGCCAGCTGCAGTTGATGAGCATCGCATGACCCCTCTTGCTTTGTTTTCCTGTGGCTCTTTAGTTTTGGACCAGACTCGGGCCCTTTCTGTACCTTACATTTGAAACAATATCATAGTACTTTAAACAGCCGTGCCTTCCTTCAAAGAATTCAGGAAAGCATAGTTTGTTCAGGGTGATGAGAGGTCTTACAATTCCTTCCTCGCAGCGTTACAATTCCCTGAGGCAACCAATCCCTCGCCCCAGGGAACTCTGGGAATCGTAACTCGGTGAGGGGAATGAACGAATGAGTGAATTTTTATTTGCCTCAGCCATCGGCCATAGCAATAAAACAACAATATGGTATACAAAGAATAGAAATAAAAAGTCAATTATATAAAACACATTTTAGGGTTTGGAATCAATAGTCAAAGAGTGGATCTTATTCTGATTGCCCCAGCTAAAAAGCTTGCAACCTTTGCTGTCACCTGCTCATCTTGATCTGCCAAGAGAAAAGACACTGTGGCAGTGGCTGGGTGACCTGGAATGGACAATAAAAGAGGGGTGATAATTTCTTTCCTCAAGTCTTTATAAAGAGTGCAAGCCAGAAGGGCATGTGCCACCGATTCGGTACTGCCATCTCCACAGGGCGTTTTTCGTGTGAAATCTGTTGGAATCGTCCCTCAGGTACAGCCGAGGGCAATACATTCAATCTTGCAAGAGTAAAAGCGCCCCTATATTTTGGAATTGCTAGATTATGCAGATAGGGTGCCAGAGAGTCGAAATGGGAAGGTGGAAAATAGTCATACCATGGGGGGAATGAATGGGGTCTCCTAATAACTCTGAACACCACAGCTCCTCGGATTTTTATTTTGGTGGGGCGGGGGGGGGGGGGCTTAACTGTTCAAAGTGGTGTCATAGTGCTTTAAATGTATGGTGCAGCCCAGGACTGACTGAGTTAAGCTCAGATGTTGCAGCTGGCTGACCCTGCGAGCGGATTCAGGAAAAGTCAGCCAGCCAGCCAGCTTGGAAAGGAAGCGTTTATCCAAACAACAGAGTTTGTGCACTTAGCTGGCTTGGATCCAGACCCCCTTCCCCACCATAGCTGCAGCAATGAAAACACATTTCCCCTTGCAGGCATGCAAACCTCCTAAAATTATACATTTAAAAATGTATTTTAAAAGTTAAGGTGTTGATTGTGGAGCTTCTATGGGCGGGGCGGGGGGGGGGGTAGTCTCCTTGCTGGTCGTATGGCACTGAGCAGACACCTAAATTTTGCTGACTTTTGGTCCCAGAAGGACTAGGAGTTGTTTTTATATACAGAAGCTCTTCCTGATTTGTTGAGCCTTGTGTCTGAGTTACTTTGAGCCACTGCTCTGTAGAGGCAGCCTTTACAGTGCCGCTGTTCTCTGCTTGTGGCTCACTGTGCAGAATAGTCTGCAGGAGAGTCCCTCTACTGCATGGGTAGGCAAACTAAGGCCTGGAGGCTGGATCCGGGCTAATCGCCTTCTCAATCCGGCCTATGGACGGTCCAGGTATCAGCGTGTTTTTACATGAGTGGAATGTGTCCTTTTATTTAAAATGCATCTCTGGGTTATTTGTGGGGCCCGCCTGGTGTTTTAACATGAGTAGAATGTGTGCTTTTATTTAAAATGCATTTCTGGGTTATTTGTGGGGCATATGAATTCGTTCATTTCCCCCCCAAAAAATAGTCTGGCCGCCCACAAGGTCTGAGGGACAGTGGACCGGCCCCCTGCTGAACAAGTTGCTGACCTCTGCTCTACTGTGTCAAGAGGCCTTTCAAGCCTTTACAGATTTAGGAGGCAGTGGATAAATAGACTTGAAAACAGCAATCCAGATCTTCTAGTGTTTTGCCAACCTCATAACCCTGAATTCTCTTTTGTGCATTTGAACACATGGGGAATATATCAGACAGAAGATCTTCTTTTGCACTCTAGCTAGGAATTGAGTTGAATATTAACAGTTTGGGGAAGACCCACTGCCTGCTGCTGCTGCTGCTGCTGCTACACACTCACAATCCTTTCTATGGCCCACGGGGCCAAACTAGGCTTTATTTCACCCCAAAGGCCCAGTTGTCAGGGCAGCAAACAGCACCCTCTCCACCCCTTCCCAAGGCAAGATGTAGCATACCCAAGGCCAGCAAAGGTTGTTTTTTTTTTGCACACGAGACTGAAAACTCCACGCCTCTCCTCTGGCATTAAAAAATTCAACTATAATAAGTGAAATAAGGGACAATGTCCTGCAGAATATTTTTCAGCAGGATACAATGGGCATGCACCAACAGGATACGAAGATGGATGTCTACCCGAAAACCTTTGAAAGTGGACTCATGCATAGCTGCCCCAGTGCCATCATGAGCACAAATCATCATGAAGTGAGGGGCTCAGAGTAGACTATAAAATGCTGAACAAATAGTATTACCAGCTTCCTGCATTTATATGACCTATCTTGAGACATTCCTACCCACTGTCCAATAAAGAAATATGAAGACATTAGGATGAGTATGCAAGCTGTTCCCTGTTGACTTTTTTGGGATGCTTTAGCTGAGTTTTCTGCATTGCAGGTGGTTGGACTAGAAGACCCTCGGGTCCCTTCTAGCTCTACTACGATTCTATGATTCTGCAACTTTCCTGTTGCCCTCCATTGAGCAACTGTGAAGTGGGGAGTTTCCTATAGTTACAGAGGATCCCCACACAGTTTAGAAGGCTGGAGAATCTGAGCTTCCTCTCTGTCCAAATTGTTCACACTTTGCAGTTTTATAAACTGGTACAAAGACCCTCCAGTTCTCTCTCTCTCTCTCTCTCTCTCTCTCTCTCTCTCTCCCTACTGCATGTTATAAATACCAACAGTGCATCTTCTTTCAAAAATTGTCAGCAGTTCAGAATTTCCATAGAGCCTGAGAATGAAGTCATGCTGATAATGTAAGACTGATGTGCAATTATGGAACAGCATCAGATCACAGAGAAAAACACTTCCCATGCTGTTGTGCTTATACTCATTCTGGAAGAGCCACACAGACACAGCTAGGCCAAATCACCTCTGTTGGGAAACTGAATATTAAGCCTTGTCCCTTTGGCTTTCGCAGCCTGCCTTGCTTTCTTGAGAGTTTCTTTTCCTGCCATTCCAAACCACCCCGCCGACACACAAAGAGCTTCCAATAGCGGCTTTGGATTTTATTTTCTAGCTTTCATTATCTAACTATTTTCTTAAAAGGAAATAACCTCTGCGCTCCCCAGCTTGTGCTTTGCCTACAGCATTGTATTAATAATGGAATTTCCTAATGTAAAAATCAAAATCAAAGCAAAAGCAGGACTGCTCAACATTACTCTGCAGCAGCTTCCCCCAACTTGGTGCCCCCCCTAGATGTTGGAACTACAACTCCCATCATCCCTGGCCAATAGCCAAGCTGTCTGGGGCTTTTGGCGTGGAGTCCAACAACATCTGGCAGACACCACGTTTGCAGAGATGTGGCATGTAACAACAACAAGACAAGAGGCTTGTGACCAGCAGTTTTATTACGGCATACATGCTATTGTAACCCAGAATCCACTTCATTAGATTTGCCTGGTGTTCTTTTCAGCTGGCAGGCTTGTTTGTTGGCTTGTTAAATAAAGTTCCCTCCTCCTTTCCTCCATTGTACAACTCAAATGGGGTTCCTAAGTGCCCCCGACCCCATCCAGGCACAGGCCAAATTCTTCCCTGCTTCACGTGCCCTCGGGCATGGATGTAGAGGGGGAAATGCAAACTGTGAGGTTGATATAGCCATGATATGCAAAAAATACAGTCTGTGAGAATTTTATGTAAAGCTCAAGATAAGCGATGTGTCCATTTACAACAGTGATAGTTGATGAGGTTGAGCATGTCCTTGATGTACCATCAGGCCTTTGTGAATTAAGACACACATGGCTAAGGCTCAGGGATAAGGAAACTGGCTGCAGAGCGGCTTTTCTCGGGAGAGATTCCCAGCCGTGATTCCTACACTGCAAGGCGGTTGGGCTAGGTAACCATCGGGTCCCTTCCAACTCCACAGTTCTATGATTATGTGAATAAATTGTGGGAAAGCTTGAAGGTTCATGTTTTGTGTTCACGAAAGCATTTGAAGCTTGAGTGGAAATGGAAGAAACAAAACTCTTACAAGAAGCAATCTTCGGTGGGCATAAGAAGGAACTTGATGGACTCAAGTATTATTATTTTCTCTGAGAACTTGCAATGCAAGGGCGAGGACAGTAATTGCTGGCGCACAATTCCGCACACAGAAAACATGCTTATAAATCGGAAAAGGAAAAGCTAACTGCTTCTAGTAGCACTTAACAAAGAGGCTGTAGAAACTAGCCCATGTGGATGATCCTGTCATATTGTTCTGAGTGGTAGAGTTGAGCATCTGTAGCACACAGACCTGTCCTGTGTTTACTGTGTAAGATTTGTCATGTTAATCTGGTGGTCTAACTTGGGTTCAAATTCAGCAGTCCCGTGGATCAAAGTGTAAAGAAGCCTTCCCAAGCTGGTGCGCTCCAGATGTTCAGCTTCTCATTGGTCACAGCCAGCACATCTGGAGAGCAGCTGGTTGACAAAGGCTGAAGAGAAGCATAACTAGTGGGAAAGACCACATACGCAGGAGTGCTTTGTTTACTGATACACAATGCTTCTTGAGTCTGCAATCTTCAGCACTTGTTACGCTTTTCTCCTTCTTGGGAGAAGAAACCTAGACAGCATCTTAAAAAGCAGAGACATCACCTTGCCAACAAAGGTCCGTATAGTTAAAGCTATGGTTTTCTCAGTAGTGATGTATGGAAGTGAGAGCTGGACCATAAAGAAGGCTGATTGCCAAAGAATTGATGCCTTTGAATTATGGGGCTGGAGGAGACTCTTGAGAGTCCCATGGACTTCAAGAAGATCAAACCTATCCATTCTTAAGGAAATCAGCCCTGAGTGCTCACTGGAAGGACAGATCGTGAAGCTGAGGCTCCAATACTTTGGCCACCTCATGAGAAGAGAAGACTCCCTGGAAAAGACCCTGATGTTGGGAAAGATGGAGGGCACAAGGAGAAGAGGACGACAGAGGACGAGGTGGTTGGATAGTGTTCTCGAAGCTACCAGCATGAGTTTGACCAAACTGCGGGAGGCAGTGGAAGACAGGAGGGCTTGGCGTGCTCTGGTCCATGGGGTCAGGAAGAGTCGGACACGACTAAACGACTAAACAACAACAACAAGAAGTCCCATTTA